ATATACACACTTATGTGCACATGTATACATTTGCATATGTATATGTACACACATATTGTGTATGTGTATACTTTGTATGTATATGCATTTATATACTTTGCATGTTTATTTACACTTGGTATATTTGCATATGTATATATATATATAAAAATGTGTACATATATGCACACTTATGTGGGTCTATGTACATGCATCTTACCACTTCTGCAGGAGTTCTTAGATTTGTTTGGTTCATGGACTCCACTGACATTCTGTTGAACTTGAGGGCCCTTTCTCAGAATCATGTTTTTAAATGCACAAAATAACATACATATGAATATAAGGAAAAGTCATTTTATTGAAATATAGTCATCAAAAATAATTTTTTTTATTAAAAGGAGTACATGGACCTCAGGTTAAGAATCCCTACACTACTAAGAAGCAGTATGGAACAATGCATTTGGACTTGGATTCAGTAAGGTCTGGATTCAAATTCTACCTAGCTCACTTATCAGCTGTGGGATCTTGCACAAACCATTTAGCCTTTAGGAGCCTCAGTTTCCTCAGCTGCAAAATGAGGAATTTTAGGAATTCCTCCTTAATACCTGCCCCACCTACCTCTCCCCACGGCTTTAACAATTGCCAGCCATTCTCATTATTGGGTAGCCTCCAATTGCTCAGTTAAACTCAACACTCCACAGCCTTTGAAAGAAAGGGGGATCCCACAGCTGATCTCCTCTTTTGAAGCCCTGCTGGAAAATCACCATGGAGAGGTAAAGCCTCAGGCCAGGCACAGTCTGACCACCCGGATCAGTAGAAGGTCAGGGCAAGCGGAAATTGAAAGGCCTCCTAGATGGCAGGCCTAGGCAATGGTTTCCAAAGAGCCTGATTTCACACCTGGCAGGGGTGGTAGGGGATTTGGAGGGGGGAGTCTGCAGAATGGCAAGAGGCCATTCAAAGGCAGTGCCACAATTCCGAATCCCAGAAAAATGTGACTGATCAGAGGTATGTTGCCATTTCTGGATGGGCTTCTGAGGTGGGGAAGCCTGCAGAAGGTATCTTTAATAACATCCTACACACTCCTGCCCTGGAGTAGGGGAGGAGAAATCAAGTGGAAGTCTCATAAAGTCAGTGGAGGGATGCTCTGGACATCTTGCAGCCTTTCCTAGAATGGAGGTGAAAGAGTAAAGGCTGCCTTTTTGATGTGACAGTGGGTCCTGGGAAATGCCCCAAAGGGAGTTGGGACCAAAATGTGATGAGGAGGGGGCTAGGATATGAGGGATTTTCCAGGGTGGGTTTAGAAAGGGAAGAAAGCCCTTTTCTCAGCTTCTATGTTCAGAAGCCTGTCCAGGATTTGAGAACAGTGCTCTCTCTAAATTCAAGAGTGGTACCACACCACCTATGACACACAGCACACTGTGGTGCAGGGGTGGCCCTTAAACCTACCCAGACAACTCTGGGAGTAAAATTACAGCTGCTCTGGGAGGCCTGAGGAGAATGTAGCCTGGAAAGCATCCCAAGAGCTCACCTGGCTCCCAGGTGATAAGGATGCTGAATAGCACTGATCTGAGAAACCTTGGCAAATAATTAGCCAGGAGAGCAAGATAACTCGTTAAAATTATGGACCTTCAGTTTAACAGTGCTTAATGTGTTTTCTGTCTCTTTCCAACTCCAGTGGGCACTCACTTGTCTGTTTATGCCTTTCACAGCTGGGGGAATTAAGTCATCAAAGTTTCATCTACCTGTCTCACTTCAGCCAAAAGTACAACTTCCTTGACTGGATACCTTTCAAAATTGCTGTCTACATAGATTATAATTTAATATGCGGTGGAACCTACTCAAGGCTGCCTGTATCTTGAATATAAAATGTCAAAATCTGCATATACATGCTGTGGATTTTCTTCAACACTGCACACATTTTTAATAATGGTCACAACTCTAATGACGGAAATCTTTTTTTTTAAAAAAAATTACAGTATAATTTATTTTTAGTCATGACTATTCCATTTCCTTGCCCTCTCTTTCCCATAGGGCCTCTTGTTCCAATGCATTAGTCTGGCTGAACTAACAGTGTTTTCATCTTAGCCAAGCCTTTGCTGACTTCTTATCCTGGTGCACTCTTCTCTGGTTAATTCTCTCCCTTTCCTAAGAGAGGAGGATAGGAACTTAGGACTCAGAAAAAAATTAACTTTCATTTTTTTTTAACAATATTTTATTATTTTTCCCAATTACATGTAAAAATGATTTTTAACATTTATTTTTTTTTTTAATTTTGAGTTCCAAATTCTCTGCTTTCCTCGTTCCACTCCTCCCTCCCTGAGACAGTAAGCAATTTGATATAGATTATACATATTTTATAACAAAAAATATATTTACATGTTAGTCATAACTTTTGTTTTTTAAGGCCATTGAGAAAATGTCCCTGACTCAACTCCTACCTGTACTATTTCAATTAAGGTGTTTTCTTAAGCCATCTACACACTACCAGGATGTGAACTGGGAACTTAGGGATTCAGTCAATAAGCATTTATTAAGCACTGCTATGTACCAAGCCCAGTGCTAAGTGTTGGGGCTACAAAGAAAGGCAAAAAACAGGGGCAGCTAGGTGGCGCAGTGGATAGAGCACTGGCCCTGAAGTCAAGAGGTCCTGAGTTCAAATTTGGCCTCAGACACATAATACTCACTTTGGGCAAGTCACTTAATCCCAATTGCCTCATACACACACAAAAAGGCAAAAACTAGTTCTTGTCTGCCAGCTACATGCATTGTAATGGGGGATTCAATAATTAAACAAGATATATGTATACACATATGTGTTATTAAATGGTACACATACACATATGGTACATTGTACATATATAATTAACACATATGCAGTAAATTGAAGGAAATCTGAGAGGGAAGTCACTAAGGAAGAAGGGTTCCCTGAAAAAGCCCCTTTTAAAAGGTAGATCATTCTCTTGTGCTAAAATTTTACTGCTCAGTAAACGGGGGGAAAGCAGTGAGACTACATTAGTAATGATCTATGATATATACATATATATGGAAATATATATATATAATACATATTTATGCAATTTTGTTATAATTATTTTAAATATGTATTCTTCTGAGGTGTGGCATTGGTCCAAGTGACTTATGACCACTCAGGCATGAAAAGTATTGGCTCCGAAGCTAAGGACAAAGGAAAAGTAACCAGTTTCTAATCTCCCTCAGATGTGCTTGTTAAGGTATCTTGGTTAATAGTGAGGGGCCCCAGCTTCACAACTCGAGGTCAAGTTAGTTAGGAAGAAGCACCCTTTTAGGAGTAAGGCTTCAGTTAGATGATCCTATAATAAACCTAAATTCATTTTTAAAAATTTATTTAATTTTTAATTTATGTAATAAAAGAAGCATTTCCATAGCAGAATATAATAAAAAAGATGATTGCACATGAAACTGCAAATCTATTATGTACAATTTGCTATTCCTTTTAAATATATAATAAAGTTATCATGAAAATTTTTTTCCCTTTTTTTCTTTCCTCCCTCCCTGCCTTGCCCGTAGAGATGGCTACCATTAGACACAAATAGATATCTATACTATATATATACAAATATGCATAATATATACATACATATACACCTATAGTATATATACACACACACTATAAATACATATATATGTAAAATGATTCTATACATACTTCTATTTTTCAGTTCTTTCTCAGGATGCAGATAGCGACTTTCTTCAAATGTCCTTTATTTTTAATTTGTGTATTTGTCATAGTTAAAATGATTTACTGGCTCAAAGTTGTTCTTAAAATGATATTTGTGATACCAAATAACCTAAAGTCTTTATTGCACATAAGTTATTCTCTTTGTAAGATTTTTAAACAGTTTAAGCCTGTTGTTTTAAATTAACTACTTGAGTTTTTTTTTTTCTCTCCAAATGAGAGAGGTGACTTTGTGTATCTTCCCGGAAGCTTCTTATGGCCTCTTGAATAAAATATTAACTGCTCAGTCTTGCATTCAAGGCCTCCCACAGTTTAAGGAGCAATTCATTGCAATGGTTCAGAAGCTAAGTTAATATCAAGGCCAAGATCGAGCAAATGAGTTTAGGTAGGAGGAAGCTAAGCAGAGTTGGCCAAATAGCCCATAGCTAGAGGTGAAGAATAACATTAAACTCCAAGAATTATTGTTGACTGTGAACTGACACTCTTTTTAACTGTTACTGCTGCCAGATCCAGAGCAGCTGCATATGACCCTCTGGTGCCCAGTAGCAAATTCCTCTTTAAGAGGAGTGGGGCAAAGGAAATCTGTCACCTCTCTGTAGTGGGATTTAGCAATGGCCATAGCTTGCAACCTGAAGGGGGCACCAGTGAGCAGAAACCTCTGAACTTGTGGTTAAAAAAAAACTGGGTTCTAGACTGCCAGGAGGCCTCTTTCCTCTATGTCAACAGAATACTCTAATTACTCAGGGCATTACTTGCAGTATGCCTTGAGACTATTACTTCTTCTTACTTCTTGTATTTTTACTTAGTAGAGTTAATATTAGGGGGGAAATCATGTATACGATTATGAAACATTTGCCCTAAAACCTATAATAATAGTAATCATTTATCCCTGCGAGTGTTTCCATCTAAGTAAGTTGTAAGAAATGCATTTTCTCTATGCTTATGTTTTTCTTTCCTCTCTAAATAATGCATCACCAATTCCATTTACAATCCTTCTGGATGGTTTCCTGCTTTAAGATGCAATCTGTTGGGCTTATTCTGAGGTAACACTCTTCACCCTTCACCTCAAGGACAGTATCAGCATTGGGCTTTGCCTCAGAGGAAAGACTACCACTTTCAGGGTCCTCATACCACTTCTGGACTCCTCGCCCTTGTTTCTTATGGGCCCCTATTCAAGTAGGAGGAGGTTCAAGCCATCCTAGTTTATGCATCATGACTGAAAGTAATGGCAAGTGAAAATGAACACTATTACACAATACTGTTTGAACTCTGAAAAGCTTTATTTTAATGCAAAATAAAACCAAGTACAATTTATATAGTCATATGAAACAAAAATTCCAAATGCTTTCTGTGGTACAAAAAGGTACAATCTTTCAAATTTAGCAAAGATGCCACCCCTTTCGTCCCCCGTATTCCAAAATATGATTTCACATAATTTTTCTTTAGAACTTTTGAACAGATTTGGTATCATAAAATCACAGGAAGTACTAGAAAAAGTAGTGTATAAACAACAGGTTTTGTTTTTACATCCTAATAGTAAACGGCGCTTCAGTTAGTGCAGACTGAGTGAGAATACTCTCAAATCACTGCAATCAGGGATACAGGCTAGAAGTGTAATCAGGGGCCATTAACTCCCCCAACATCAGGGTTCTCTAGCCCACCTTTGAAAAATCAGCCCTTGAGGGGATGCTATTATGACTTAGGGATGTCTTTCCTTAAAAGACCTGGCTGCATATGTGATGTGGGACCAATTTTAGTCTGCCCTAGGTTTCTCTTTGATCACAAAGCTCACTCTGCAGGGATCTCTCCGAGTGACTATTCCTTGCTCTACCATCACTGGGCTATCATTTCTTTCCAGGCTGACATGGATGAGGAGTGCTGAGAAATAGCATCTTTGGTTATTTCTATTAACGGCTCTTCCTGTTGTAATGGCACCAAATGTGGCCACAGTGTGACTCATGGACTCAGAAAGCAGGAGAGAAGTCTCTCCAGTAGCAGACTTCCATTTTGAAAGGAGCTGTGTTTAGAGTCTCAATGTTTCAAATTATGTGATGTTTTCCAGGCCCATAGATATCCCAAATCTATCAGGGGTATTTTCCTTTCCTTCTAAATCCTTCAGACTCCAGATCAGCTTGCATGGGAAGAGGAAAGGATACTGGCTTTACATATTGGTCCAGACTTGTGAGTCCACCACCATGGGGAACTCCTGGTGTAGAAACCCTCTTTCACCCACTGCATACTGACCACACATCTATACTTTGTAGGCTTAGAGGATGGCCTGGAGTAGCTGGAGGTTAAATGGTTTGCCCGTGGTTTGTTAAAGTCAAAATATGTGTGAGAGACTGAATTTGAATCCAAATCTTCCTTATTTCAAAACCAGCCCTCTGTATCCAATACACCATGCTCCCTAGCAGCACTAGGAAGTATTTACGAAGCTAGATTTAGAGTTAGGGAAACCTGGATTGGAAAACACGTACTAGCTATGTGATGCTAGGCAGGTCACTTAATTTCTCTGGGTAACTGTAAATACCCAATAAAAATGAATAAAAGGGAAAAAAACCCAATGTTATCAAGTGGCTTATCTGAAATTCTATGTTTTCTAATAACAATCCTGGCTCCTACTTCTTGAATTTTTTACAAAACCATCATGACCTATCTTCAATCCTTGGATTGGGAGCTGTGGAAAGGCATAACCTGCCCCTCTCCCCCACTTTATTCCAACAGCAATAGTCCAGCAACCCAAAGGTCCAAGGCATTGATGAGATATTTCTTCTTTCTGCTGCTAATGGAGGGTAGAATTTTTCTACCACTATTATTTCTGATGATCTATTCCCAGATATTACCCTTTTTACCTATTCCTTCAAACACAGGAGGAAAATATGGGTCTGTAAAAATGTCTGCTGACTTAAGGCAGAAATATCATTTCAAGTCCTAAGTGACCTATTGGGTCAGATTAGCAGCAAGGAAGGGTTTGTTTGATACATCTTTCCTAAGTGGCACCAGCCATGGCATTCCAGGGGGGTTATTGGAGTTCTGAGCTATGTGGAGACTACTGATGGAGTTTTTCAAAGGCCATAAATAAAATGCAAGTTTGTTTTTCACCCCATGCTGATTATACTGTGCTTTTCCTAAATACTGTAGATGAGGTCTGTAAATGGTGCTGTGGTGCCCTGAGAAGGGATATACTGCATAGTGATTTATTAAGCCCTCCAATGAGTTCTGAGTGGTTTCTAATTGTTGCCTGGCTTGATAAAGGCACTGTCACAAACATACAATATTAGTTCCTTTCCAGCCGGGGCCAAAGGGATGTGGGTTATATTTCAAAGGAGCAAAGGGAACTACCTTAATTTATTTTTCACTCACTTTAAGTGGACCTTCTCGGCACAGGCTGTTTCCCTGAGGTTACCACATTTTTATTGACTGTGTACACAGTGCAAAAAGCCTTCTCCAGAGAAGTTCAGACCCAGTTGGTGTGCAGTAGGTGGAGTATGTGCTGGGTTTCCAAGTGGGAACGTGAAAATGAGGGCTTTTTTTCTAGCAAGGTCACGCCTCTCACCCACTGTAGACTACTTAACCTCATGGTACTGCCCTCTATCCAGATGTTCTCCTTTGTGGTTACATCCTTTACCAATAAGCTGAAGCTTCTGGCTTCTAGCCCGTAGGAGCTAAGCTAGAGATTGGGGGGCAGAGAAGGAAAGAATCAAAGAGCTCATTTCTAATGATCCATTACAAGGGACATTTCCCCTCACTTTATCTTTTTCATCTGCAAAATTTATTTAGCCTGAGGGTGAGACCACATCATCCCTTTCATCTCTGCCTGCCCACTGCTCAACCTGGTGTACCTGCATTCTACAAACAAGTATTGAATCAGCACTTCCAAGGTAGGACTTCCTTCAAGACCCATGTGGATCCCCAGTGAAATTACTAGAAGGAACAAGCACCAAATACAGATGGGAAAGCCTGGGATTTTTAAAATAAAATCAGGTGCTGTATTAGAATGTGGCACATCAGATTCCTTAACCTGGTTCCCACTGAGTACTCTTAACAGGAATTCAAATGAGGTTCTGATGCTACATAGTTCCAGGATGGGCTCATGAGGTTGAGAGATAGAAAAAGCAACATCCTGGTATGTTTCCAACAGGAAATTGTAGTTAAGAATATTGGAGAGACATATCCTGCCAAACTTCACTTCCTCTATAAATCTGTTTAGAACCTATAGCTGGGATGGGGGGACCTCAGACATCATTAAGTCCAACTGATCACCTCCTTTTAAAGACGAGGAAACTGAAGTCTCTTTTTAAGCTTGTTTCTCCATTTTGTAAAATGAGGTCGTTGGACTAAGTTCTTTCTGGTTCTGGACCAATGATCCTAGGATCCCATGGTTAAGTGACTTGCCTAAGGTCATGTAGTCATTAGCAGAGCCACAGTCCTTCTCATTCCTACTTAGTGCTCTTCCTGCCATTCAGCATTGCTTTTTTTCTCCCACACCGGCAGTCAGTATCACTTCTTAGAGACGGAACTCAATTTTATTTTGGGCTAGGTAAGAGCAATGGATTACAGACTACTCAAGTGCTACCCTGATACCTATGAAATATAAAAAGACCAAGGGAAGGCCTCCATTATGTTGGGTTGAGGCCCTGTGGAAGATGACTGGGGAAGCATGGACCAGAAGATGAGGATAGATTGTGATCTGCATGGACTAAGTAACACCTATATCAGTGACATCACAGATACATGGGAGTAAGGAAATATTAATCTGGGATAGATGGACCCTTGGTGTTCAGTAGCACAGTAATTTAATAAATCCTCTTAACCTCCCCCATTTTAAACAAAGGCAATGGCTGAAGGTGACATCTAGATGTGTGTGTTTTTTTTTTAAAGAATAAGGAAGCACTCTAAAGAGTCTTATAGCATTTCTTTTTAAGAGGCCCAGATCTAGACAAGTTGTTCTGCCTCTAGGCTTTGAATGGTCCTCAAATAGTTCTTTGTTTGCTTTCTCATTTAGGTCTAGTTACAATCTTTGAATTGTCCATTCATAAGCGGAAAATGGTCATGGAGTTCAAAGGAATTACAATTGATTTATCCATCTTAAAGCCTTTGGAAGATTTTTTATGAAAATTATTTTTATTCAAAGCAATTACAATTGATTTATCCATCTTAAAGCCTTTGGAAGATTTTTTATGAAAATTATTTTTAAAGCCTTAAGATCCCTTCTCTGCCATTTACTTTGCAGTCAAACAAGCTAGGTTGTGAGACACTGGAACCCAAGTCTGAGTTGTACAGTGGAGTGTCCTGGATTTGGTGACAGAAGATGTGTGTTCAAATCCTGACTGCCATTTCTGACCCATGTGACCTCAGTTGCTTTTTCCTTTCTGAGTCTCAGATTTTTCATTTTCTAAATGGATTAAATGCCCTCCCTTCAGCTCTAACATTATGGGATTTCTGTTGACCTCCCAGAGACTGAGGAGCATTATGCTTATTCTTAGGGAAACTGAGGAATAGACAGGATTCAGCTCTAAATCTCTGGTCGGGTCATAGCCCTCCCTGCTACCTTGTCTGTTGTTACTAAGAAGACAGATAAAACTTACCCTGGTTTGCTGCCTCTTTACCCCCTCCCCTCTATCTTCTCCCTTCTTTTTTTCTTCCTTCTCAAAACCAAAAACTCCTATGTTAACTTTATATTTGCCTTTAAAAGTTAGTTTTCCAAAACTGTGTTTTCCTACATCCTACCCCCTCTGTTGCTTAACACACACACACACCAATTCAAAACCAAACTGACATCAGAGCACCACCTTAATGAACACGTACTGTTTGTCCACTGCTCCTTAAACCATTTTGTTTTAAACACCCAAGAAGGCTCCTCCCAGCTGTGGTTGGCATTTAGCTCCCTGTAGTGCAAACGGGGATTGTTTGGCACTTATTACTGAATTGGCACCTCCAGGGCATTGGATCCTGGGAGGCCCAACAGGAGAGTTCTCTTCCTTCCCGACTGAGGATTATCTAGAGAAGAGAGAGCCTTAAAATAGAAACAGCAGCTAAATAATTACAGGTTGGAAACCCGGGATTGCTTCTGAGATCTGGGGCCTCTCTGATACTGTGGCCAGGAAAAAGACGGAAAGGAAAGGGGGAAGGACCAGGTCAACTTTGGCCCTCCTGCTGGCTCTCAGGCTCCTCTATCTAAGAGAGAATAAGCATGCCCTTGTGGAATATAGCTTTAGGCTGCATGTGACAAGACCCCACTTCTTTCCTCGTGATTGATTGGTCCTTGAAATACCAGCCTCTCAGCAGCTCTCACTGATTTTTAGGATTCCTCCTGAGGCCTGATGTTGAATTTCTACCTTACCCGTTTTTGTTTTTTTTTTAAATAAGGAAAACAGGGAAATATAACTGAGGCTCCCCCCCCCCCAATTCCTATTGCAGGTTCAGGCTTACCAAGTGCTTTCCTGGCTGGCAGGTATAGTCAGTGAAACATTCAATCAAACTGATGGTAGCAGGACCCTGACAGACACTAGAGATAAAGAAATACTGTCTTTCTCTGACGGAAAACTTCTGAGGAGCCCCTTCTGTTTGTTTGTTTCTTTCTTTTTTCCTTCCATTGCTAAAATAATAACCCACTCCAGGTGCACCAGATTTGCAGTCTTGTATACACCATGGCCGTAGGTGCTGGCTTTCTGATTGCAAAAATCTTGGTGTAGCTTTGGCTCCCAAATGGATAAGGATCTTTAGCAGAGACTGTCTTAATACCAGCGGTAATCTTTAAAAGAGGAGCTGCTCTGTGGGTGTATATGTATGTGTATGTGTGTGTGTGTATGTGCCCGTGTGCTCATATGTGTAGAAAGGCCAGCGATGCATATTATCTAGCCCTGGGACATTCCACTTAGTGTATCTAATGATGTTATTTACTTTTCAGCTACCACTTCTGCTCTGGGTTTAACTGGTTTAAAAGCATTTTAATGTACAGTACCACTGTTTTCATGGCCTGATCAGACATATTGTACCTTCCTTTTTTCCCCCTCTGATTGGCCTTAAGTGATTTCCTCAGCGAGAAGAACCTAATCTGTACCTGCCGCAGAAAGAATGGTTCCAGTTCATGGATAATTTTATAGCCAAGGAGACTTTGGAGGACCGAGAGGAAAAAAGAACAAGGCAATTGCAGAAGGCTTTTTTCCTGGCCCATGTCCTACTACACAGCGGCAGTCATGGGGTTCTTCTGCTGGGGGTCCTGGGCTCTATATGGGTACTGTTCTGGGCTGGCCGCCCGCTGTCCTGTTTTGCCTGTTTCGTGATATGCTGGCACTTTGTGGTGTTGAGGTGGTGAAGGTGGGACATCTTGTCGGAAAGGTCCTTTGTGGTGTGTGGCTGGAGGGGGTGGGTAGTACTGAGGATAGCGAAGGTCTGTCACCCTCACATCCTGGGCACGAGAGTAGCTTCCTTTAGGAAGATGAATGGGCTGCATTCCTGGGTAATACGGAAGTTCCCTTTCCTTGTATATCAACCGAGGTCCTGTTAGGTAATCTGCTGGTTCTGTAGGTCCTCGCCTAGAGAGAGAAAACACAGACACATATTAGAAAAAAAGCCAGGATATCCAGGGACATACAGAGCTCTTTAAGAGGCTGGAGGAATTCCGTGTCCTAGAGATACACAATCATGTCAGAGGACTTGTCATGAGCTCAAATTCAGACTGTGTTCTCTACTACTTAAGGCACTTTGGGCAAGTCACTCAAACTCACTAGGTTTGTTTCCTCATTTGTAAACTGAGGTAATTAAACCAGGTTAGATGTTCTTAGCCTTTTTTTTTCTTTTTTTTTTTGTATCCTGGACCTCTTTAGCAGTGTGGTAAAGCCCGTGTACCTTTTTTTTTCCTTCAGAATAATGTGTTAAAATGCATAAAAAACACAAGGAAATTAATTATACTGAAATGAAGATACAATTTTTTCCCATCCAAACTCCTTGAAATCTATCCACAGACTCCTTGGGGTTCAGGGACTCCAGGCTGAGAAACCCTAGATTGGCTGAACTTGAAAGTTTCTCCTAAATCTAAATTCTATGATGATAATAATAGCTAACCTTTATATACTGGTTAAATGTTTGCAAATTCTTCATAGCTGCATATACTATTACATGGGATGTTTCAAGTCACGGTACTGGAGAAGACTTTTGAAAGTCCCTTGGACAGCAAGGAAGTCAAATCAGTCAATACTCAAAGAAATTCATTTAGTCCATTCACTGGAAGGTCATATATGGAAACTGAAGCTTAAATACTTTGGCCACATAATGAGAAGATGGAACTCATTGGAAAAGACCTTGATGTTGGGAAAGACTGAAGGCAAAAAGAAAAGGGGATGGCAGAGAATGGGAAGGATAGATGGTATCATGGAAAAAAAGAACATGTCCTTGGACAGACTTTGAGAGAACGTGGAGGACAGAAGGGCCTGGCACACTATATAACATGACTGAACACCAAATCGTAACAACACTTTCGAGGCAGGTGCTGTTATTATTCCCATTATATAAATGAGGAAACTGACACTGAGGTTAAGTGACTTGCCCAAGGTCATATAACTAGTAACTCATACAACTAGTAAGTATCTGAAGTAGGATCTGAACCCAGGTCTTCCTGACTCTAAGTACAAGACTTTATCTGATCTCCTTCACAGATGCTGTCAATGGTGAGAACACATGAAAGGGGATTTTATCTGTCTGCCTCTATTCCTTTTCTAGATTTGGTGTTGGCAATTTAAAGATGCCAAAGTCACCAAACTCTGGAAGCCATTTCTGGCAGCCTCCATTTTTCCCAATGGTCTGCTATTTCCTTAGGACCCTATGGCACTAGGGAGGAGAGACCCAAATTAAAAACATTTTTTTGGAAACCAATGATATTGGATATCACAGTCTTTGGGTAAGAGACACTGCCACATTTCATTCTGGACATGAACTATTCAACTGCCCAGGGAGAACCAAACAAGCTGCCATTTCCACACCCTTCAATGTGTAGGCTAGCAAAAGGGTCTAGGGTAAGTCAGAAGTGAACACAGCACGATGCCTTCCTCCCACAGCCTCTACCCATCTTCCCACTGGAAGACAGCAATCTTCTCCTATTCCATTTGCTGTAACCAGAGCAAACAATGTGCAGATGACTGCATCTTATCTAGCCCGGGGATAAACAGATGAGTTCAGTTTGCAGCTTTGCCAATCTCATAAACCTTCTGTGCAGAGATATTCACACCTCCCGGCTCCTTTCCCACTGCCATTCTCCCCTCCCCTTTTCTTTTTAAGAAAACAAAAACAGCAACTTAAACACATCAGTCTGACAAGCCCTCTTAACTTCAGTACTCAAAAAGGCTGGAGCTCCTGAAGGGAAGGACTGGGAGAGAAGACAGTAGCTGTGGTTAATTCAACCGGCTGCCAGATGGGGAGGAAAGCACCCTAGAAGTTACGGAGGCTGAGGGTAAAACAGCTCTGTGTGTCTCCTGAATCAATGAGGATTTGACAAGCTCTGGTGCCTGTGACAAGCAACATGTGAGCATGTGAATCCAGCCCTACAAATGCGCCGGGGAGGCCCCCCTTCTATCTTCCTACGTCTTAATTCTACCAGGCATCATGATGATTGACGCTCCTGCCGTGTCCCATTTAACTTGGGACAGTTGTCAGCAAACCAAAGTAAACTGTTTTACATTCATTAAACATTTGGTTCAGGGCTGTGATTTCAGTCATGCAGAGAACTCCTGGGGTGGGAACTCCTTCCACCAATGCAGACTGGTCATTCATCTCTAAATCATAGTTTTAGAGAGTTGCCTGAGGCGCTGAGCAGTGAAGTGACTTGCCCAAGGTGTCACAGCTCTTTTTCATAGGATTATAGGTTAAAGCTAAAATGGACCTTAAAAGTCATCAAATCTAACCCCTTCACTTCACTCATGAAGAAATTAAGGTTGAAAGAGGCTAAATGATTTGCCCAGGGTTACACAGGTAGTTAAGTATTTGAAGAGGGATTTGAATTAGGATCTTTCTGACTTCTAACCAGTATTCTAATCTAAGGCCTGAATCTCGGCCCCCCTGACTCTAAGTCTGACCCTTTACCCATTAGGCAACATTGCCTAATACATGAAATACATTATATTTCATGAAATATAGCAGGTACTACTGTTTAGTAAAATTTTTTGTGTTGGTTTATTTGAAAATGCCTACAACAAGCAGTAATAATAATATCTTTAAGGTTTACAAAGCACTTTATAAATATTGTCTCATCTTATCCTGAAAGGGAGGTGCTATTATCATCCCCATTTTACATCTGGGAAAACTGAATCAGAGATTAAGTGCCTTGCCCAGGGTCGCATGGTTAGTAAGTGTTTGAGGCTGGGTTTGAACTTAGGTCTCCCTTATGCTAAGTCCAGAGCTCTATCCATTGCCATCTAGCTGATACTTACATAGCTCTTTACAATTTACAAAGCATTTTTATCTGCATTATTTTATTTGATCCTCATAAGAACTCTAAGAAATAGGAACGGAAGTCATATGATCTGCACTAAACCACTAAGAAACAGGCTTGGCTTAGAGAGATGAAGGTAACTTGTCCAAAGGCTATGCGGAAGACTCAGGACTTGAACCCAGGACCTTTACCTCCAAATACAGTGTTCTTTCCACAACACATCTATCTATCTATATATCTATCTATCCATCCATCTCTAACATTAGTCTATGATGTACCTATATCTATATATCACCTATCTATATCCATACATCCATCTATCTCTATCCTCAGTATCTATCATCTATCTACATCTACATATTACCTATCCATATCCATCTATCTATCTGTCTATCTACCTACCTACCTATCTATCTATCTATCTATCTATCTATCTATCTATCTATCTATCTATCTATCTATCTATCTCTCATACAGGTAGTAAGTAAATGAGGCTGAATTTGAACTCAGGTCTTTCAACTTTCTAACTAATTTTCTAACTATCATATATATGCCCTGTGTTACCTAGATGCCATCAGAGGATATGACACTAAATAGAGATTACTGCAATGCAAATATTTTATTGTATAGTGGTTGAGTATCCTCATTTTGTTCATCTACAAAATGAGAGTTGTTTCCAGCTTGACATCTATGAAATGATGAACTCTCAAGAAGGTTTCAGTCTAGCACAATAAAAAGAATACTGAACAGTTATTACATCATAGTAGGAGTTCTTATCATGAGAGTAGAGAGATTTGGGGGGAGCATGAATTTGAAAGGGAAAAAAATCTCTATTTTTACTAATATCTACCTGAAAATTTGCATTTTCTTCCATTATAAACTTAAGAAGTTTCACTATACTGCCAAAGAGGCCTATGACATAAACAAGGATAAGAACTCCTTCATTCAGGAGGCTACAAAACAAAACACTATGTGACATGTGAGGGCAAAGGTTGTGACCAACCAGGAAAGGTCTCCTGGAGGGGGTGCCATTTCAGTGGAGTTTTATTCCATAATACTCTGGGCATCTTACCTCCCTTGCCACACAAGACACAAATAACTCATCTGTTGCTGCTGAGGGTAGTGGGATTGCTAGCTATTTCATCTCTTTTTTCTGTTTGAAGGCTATTTCATTTGAGAATGTTTTCAGTATCCATGACATCTTTTATCTTAGAATTTGAGTCTTCCCCTTACCAGCTCCAATTTTTCTTTTTGTCCATGCTGGAGATTTCCAAAACACTTAGAAAAAAAATAAGGCCTTAACCTGTGTTTCCTCCCCAACTCCCCTGAAGAGATTTCTCTGCATGAAGTGGAACGTGGTTTTCCTGCACTCGCTTAAAGCCCACAGGGTAAATCACTGACATACGCAAAGCACAAGCATTATCTGCCTCAAAATGAACATACAACCAACCCTTCCTCTGGAGTCTCTTAGTGTGAATGTTTCCTGTTTAAAATGGAAAGAGAGAAAGGAGGAATTCCAGGCCTTGGACTTTTAGGGTCCTGTTCTCTCCCTGGAGACTCTTCTCTGTTAAAACAGCACATTATAAAAGACAGGCACTCTGGGTTGTTTTTTTGGTGAGACAAGCCAGGCTAAGTGCTGAAGGGGCGGAAGCCACCCTCCGAGATACAATCCCGACTCACTGCAGGCACTGAAGACAATTGGTATCTCTTCTCACACACCTCATTGATGCGACAGGGTCCAACTTTCACGGAAGGGAAAAGTGAGGTTTCATTTTTCTATGGGCAGACAGGGCAGAGCCCGAGATGATTTCACGATCCCGTTCCTAGTTTCCTTTGAGGGGAAACTTTATGACTGGAACTTGTGCTTACATGTGGTAGAAACCAAGAGTGAGGTGGCTGTTCTTTGTCAAGAATGAAAATAATGGAAACCATATTATTCTGTAAAATCCATCATAACAGTTATCTTTTGGGGAGAGAAGAAAAACAATATGCTGGCCTATGAAAACACACAGAGTTAATGTTTCAAAGAGTGCTAAAGACACTGAATATTTCTCCTTTTGGGGTATCTGATATTCGCAGTACCTTCTTGCTTGGAAACTTCCTACAGACATT